TCAGAATTTCTTTGCAAGGTTTACATATAATGAAACTAGACACCTGGGGCTACGCGTGCATATAAATTATAAGAAAATCGGAGGTCCGTAGCCCCAGTACGGCAACTTACAAAGTGCTCGCAAAGACTTTTCAAAACTCAACATTTAGATAACATGTCAAAATCCTTTTCGCAAACGTTTCAACATCTGTTTCCAAAATACTTGCTGGTCATAAAATCATAATGCAATAATAAAATCATAGTTCACAGTAATAAAAGCTTCTCAATTTCATACAGTCATCCATAAAATATCACATCAATAGCAGCATGCCCAAACAGTAGAAGCCAACAGCAAATATCCAAGTCCTCAAAAGCTTTTACGTCCTCCTCGTAGTCGGAATTTACTTTACCGATTCACAACAAAACAGTCCAACGTCTCAACGATTTTTCACACCTCTCTGGTAGCACACAAGAAAGTCGAATGGAACAAGGAGCACAACACCACTTTCTAAGTTTTACGAACACAGCAGTCCAATCCTCCAACGTCAGATGTGTGCACGAAAAGAAAAGAAGATTTTCTTGAGTTAAATCCTTTTTGCATCAAGGACCTCGGCTAGACAAGCAGGAAGTGGAAGGAGCTCTTCAATATGGTGATGGCTTACAAGGGTACACGGTTTCAAGGAGGAGAAGAGAATAGTAAGATGTAGTTTGGCTATTTTTTTTTTCTTGGTATATTTCTTGCTGGTTCTCACGGTCAAAGAAGAAAAAAATTTGGGAAAGAAAGGTTGCAAAATGTCCAGCCTACTTCCTCACTAACTCAGCGCTTGGTGATGAAAGAAGAGGGTTGAGAAGGCTGATTTAAGCTTGTGTGTGCCATCAGGAAAGTGGCTGAAACTTTCCCTCATTTGGAGCGCATAAGGTGACAAGATGGGTAAGGCTTCTGCCCTATTACTTTACATGCAATCTGATCACACTTTCCTTTATTGGTTACAAGTTAAAGTTGGACATAAAAGGCTAAGTCTACAAGCAACCAGATTTGTATTTTTTCTTCCCCCCCAACGCGCATGTGACAAGAAAACTATGACAAGGCTGACTTAAGTTGTCATTTTAAGTAAGCTACATCAGAATTTTTTCAAGGCTCTAGGCACATGTGAATGAGAGATGGAGTGTGGCTGGTCTAAGGTAGTTTAGTCACATAAGCTACCAACTTTTTGACAGCACTACAGCGCATGAAACAAGGGGATGAAATGGCTTATCCTTTTTGCCATGTGTTGATTTCTACCCAATAGAGAATTGTCTTGTAGGATTGCTATGATGACATAAAACTTTAGCAAGGAGTGGAGAGTTTGGGCTGAATCCAATACCCTTCCTAAAACCCTATAGGTTCGGCCAATGAGCATTCTAGGGACTAAAATATGCAGCCCAAAAATGATACTACCTAGAAGCTAACCCAATAATTTTTTCAGTTCAGATAAGGCCTAATTAACATCATGCTTTATTTTATTTTATGTGCTACAATTAATACATTCCTATACTTTATAATTAAAATTTCATATGTCTAAAATAAATCTTCATTTAATACTATACTTCAATAATTTCCTAACTTAATTTTAATCCTATGCTAATTCTCAATAATTTCGAAGACCAACAAACAATACATATATATATATATATCACATTTAATTTTATTTTATTTTTTTACACGTGCATTCTTATACTTTAAGGTATTTTATGTATTTCCCTAATTGTGTGGAATGTTACCTACTAACTCAATATTAATTCCCCATGAGTAACCATGAGATTAGCGTAATCTGTATTAGTTTTTCCTAATTTCGAGGGATTACAGGAATCTTGGTTTATGTTCCCTTGATGTGTTACCTTGGGAGATGGAAAGACTTGTGTCATGCATGGCTTGAGTGTGTAAGAAGGAAGCTTCATTTTCCTTGTCATGAGTGCGCCTAAGGTGGGGAAAGCCTCATTTCTCTTTGCTAGATCGAGGTGGACATGTGAGGAGGGTGAAATCTTATTCAAAAATCCTGTTGCCACCTCACCTAGGGTTTACTCTTGAATTGGGTTGGGCTTATCTGGCCCATTAAGTTAATAATTTGGGCATTTGTAATTGGGTCAAGGCTAGGTGGTGTGGGCTTGGATTGGGATACTAATTGGGCCATTTCTTATAAAATGGCCTTGCATTCTTGGGCTAGAATCTTTAACTTAGTCATATTCTTAAGGTTGGGCTTTAACTATTTGGGCTTTAGGATTAATGTTGCTTATTCAAAGCTATCGTTCAAAAGCTAATAATATGGACTGAATTTACTTGGCTAATATCGAGTACAAGATTTTTGGTTATTACATCCACCCTACCTAATAAAACGAAAATTACAAACATTCTAAGTCGGGATACTTCTGCCGGATCCGCCTCGCTAGGTTTCTTCGGGAACTGCCATTGTACCTTTACCATTGGTATCACCTTGCTGCGAAGGCGCTTCTCTTCTCTGTCTAGAAGATTTGCCAGATTGGGTATACTTCCACAGCATCCGGTAACACCACATGTGAGGGATCCGCCAAATATTTCTTCAACTGGCTTACATGGAATACATCGTGAAGATTTGCCAGATTGGGTGGTAATGCTAACTGATAGGCTACCGGTCCTACCCTTTTCAGAATCTGATAGGGACCGATATAGCGTGGGCTTAACTTCTTTACACCGAGAGCTCTACCAACACCAGTAACAGGGGAGAGCTTGATGAACACATGATCCCCTACTTCAAATTCTAGGGGTCGGTGCTTCAAGTCATAATAACTTTTCTGCCGATCTTGGGCTTTCCGCAACCTGTCGCGGATCATCTTAATCTGCTCTGTCGTTTCTTTCACCATGTCCGGCCCGAACATTTCTCTGTCGCCCACTTCTTCCCAGCATACAGGTGTACGACACCTCCTTCCATAAAGTGCTTCATACGGGGCCATACCGATACTGGCATGATGACTGTTATTGTAAGAGAATTCTGCCAATGGCAGATACTGATCCCAACAACCTTCCTTCTCTAAAGCGCAGGCTCTTAACATGTCTTCAAGTGTTTGTATTGTTCTTTCTGTCTGCCCATCTGTTTGGGGGTGATATGCCGTGCTCAATCGCAGTTGGGTCCCAAACGCCTGCTGTAATGAAGACCAGAATCGGGACGTAAACTTAGGATCCCGATCACTGATTATGCTTTCAGGGACGCCATGTAACCTTACAATCTCTTTTACATAAATCTGAGCCAACTTCTCTGTCGTGTAAGTTCCTTTCACCGGTATAAAGTGTGCTGATTTGGTCAATCTGTCGACCACTACCCAGATGGCATCATAGCCTGCTTGAGTTCTGGGTAGGCTGGTTACGAAGTCCATAGATATACTCTGCCATTTCCACTCGGGGATGCTCAAGGGCTGTAGGGTGCCTGCCGGCCGCTGATGCTCAATCTTTACTTTCTGGCACACCATGCACTTGCTTACGTATCTTCCCACATCTCTCTTCATTCCTTTCCACCAGAAATTCTTTTTCAAGTCTGCGTACATCTTGGTGGCTCCTGGGTGTATTGAGTATTGGCTCTTATGTGCTAGCTCCATGACTTCCTCTCTCAGGAGCTTCGTAGGGACAACTATTCTCCCTTGGAAGGTAATTATACCTTGCTGGTTCAGGCTAACACCAGATTGATTCCTTAGCCTCTTCAAACAGTCGACGGCTTGCTGAGCCTGTTTGATCTTTTCTAGTAGTTCGTCGGTGATCTGCACCGCCCAATATTCGGCCTCGCATTCGCTATTCACCACTGCTAGGCCTAAGTTTCGGAAGTCCTCTATCAGTTGATGCTCGGCTATCATCATGCTTGCGACCATTCTGGTTTTTCTGCTCAAGGCATCTGCAACTACGTTCGCCTTGCCGGGATGGTATTGCAATTCAAAGTTGTAGTCCTTTATGAACTCCATCCAACGGCGCTGTCTCATGTTCAGTTCTTTTTGATCAAACAAATACTTGAGGCTCTTGTGATCGCTGTAAACTGTTGTGGTTGCACCGTACAGGTGATGACGCCATATCTTCAGGGCAAACACGATCGCTGCTAGTTCTAGATCGTGAGTGGGGTAGTTTTCTTCATGCGGCTTCAACTGTCGGGATGCATACGCTACTGGTCTGCCATGCTGCATCAGTACACATCCCAAGCCTATCTTGGAGGCATCACAGTATACCTCAAATGGTTCCTCCGGGTCTGGCAGTGTCAGTACTGGAGCTGTAGTCAACATTCTCTTTAACTCTTGGAAACAAGCTTCACATTCCTCGGTCCACACAAAAGGGACCTGCTTTCTTGTCAATCGGGTAAGTGGCAATACCCGCTTCGAGAATCCTTCAATGAATCTCCGATAGTATCCTGCTAGTCCAAGGAAGCTCCTTATCTCTGTGACAGTCTTTGGTCGTTCCCAATCTACTACTGCTTCAATCTTGCTGGGATCCACTGCTACTCCTTTCTCTGAAATTACATGTCCAAGAAACTGAATCTCTGGCAACCAGAATTCACACTTTGATGGTTTCGCATACAGTTGTTTCTCCCGCAATACTTGTAGCACAATTCTCAAGTGTTCTTCATGCTCCTCTTTGCTCTTCGAGTATATCAGTATGTCATCGATGAATACGACCACGAATCGATCCAAGTAAGGTTGGAAGATCTGGTTCATGTAGCTCATGAATACTGCCGAGGCATTAGTCAATCTGAAGGGAATGACCAAGTACTCATAGTGCCCGTATCTTGATCTGAAAGCTGTCTTCGGGATGTCCTCCGGTTTGATCCGGATCTGATGATATCCTGATCGAAGATCAATCTTCGAAAACACCTTTGCACCTCTTAACTGATCAATTAAGTCCTCGATACGAGGCAATGGGTATTTGTTCTTGACAGTCACCTTGTTGAGTTGCCGATAGTCTGTGCAAAGTCTCATTGATCCGTCCTTCTTCTTTACGAATAGAATTGGTGCTCCCCACGGGGATACACTGGGTCAGATGAAATTCTTCCCTAGCAGGTCTTCTAATTGCTTCTTCAATTCTACCAATTCAAGGGGAGACATACGGTAGGGTGCAATTGAGATTGGTCCAGTCCCGGGAATAAGTTCAATAGAAAACTCCACTTCCCTTTCAGGGGGAAAGGTGGTAATGTCGTCAGGAAATACATCCTCGAATTCTTTGACCACGGGAATGTTCATCAACGGGATCTCGCTCGCACCTACTAGACCGGCTATTAGCATGAAAGTGCAATCTCCTGATTCGACCGGTGGAGTATTGGGGAGTGGGGTCCCCATCATGTCCCCGCCGACTATTATACTTCGGCTGTTACAATCAATTACTACATGTTGTTTGGCCAGCCAATCCATTCCCAAAATCAGGTTCAGTTTGGCTAAGGGGAGGATTATGAAGTCTTGGTTGTACTTCTTTCCTTTGTATCTGAATTCTACACTTCTACATATGAAGTGAGACACTGTCACTTCCCCCGTCGCAGAGGTGACTTGCATAGGGGATTGCATTGGGCTCATAGTTAGGTTAAAGGCTTTTGCCACATAATCAGCAATGAGAGAATTGGTCGCACCAGAGTCAAATAAAACAGATATCACATATATTGATCGTACCTTTAACTAGTTCGGCCGCCTGGTCCGCCACATGTTGATCCAGCGTGTAAACTATGCCCACTCTTGGCGCCTCTGCGGCTGTCTGTTGTTCTCCCCATTGTGGACAATCTTTGATGAAGCGTCCTTCTTGGCCGCACTTGTAACATTGTGTTGACCCATTCAAACAGTTGCTGAAATGGGCCTTCTTACATTTGGGGCAATTGGGAGCTCTGTTGCCATTTCCTCGAGGATTCCCGGGCCTCTTGAACTTGTTACCATCACGCCTGGGCTGCCACGGTCTGCCTTCGCGTTTTCCTCTCCATTGTCCATTCTTAGCCATCGGGGCTTTGGTTCCAGATCCGCTGGTCTCTGCAGGCTTCCTTGCTTGCAATCCTATCGCTTCCACCTTTCTACATTTGTTCACCAGGGTGGCGAGGTCACAGGGGTCGTTGCCAGCTACCAGTTCCGCAATCCTAGCGGATAAACCCCTTTGAAATTTTGCTGCCAGAAAGTCTGGCATGGGCATAGTTCCTCGGTAAGTTGCCAGTCGGAGTAGTTCGTTGAATTTAGCATGATACTGATCCACCGTCATGGTTCCTTGCACGAGTCGATCAAACTCGCCTTGCTTGCTATCCCGGATTGACATCGGGAAATACTTCTCCAAGAACATTTCTTCGAACATGGCCCACGAAATTGCCACATTTTGCATCACCAAGGGTTGGGACGCATTAGCCCACCAATGATGGGCGTCTCCTTCCAACATATACACTGAGAACAGCACCTTTTGATCATCGGTGCATTGAACCACTCTGAATATTTTGTCCATGGCCTGTAGCCACTGCACAGCTACTATTGGATCGTGTCCTCCTTGAAAGGAGGGCGGCTTGTGCTTCCTAAATGTCAGCAGCAGATCTTGATTATTTCGGCCCGCCACTCCATGTTCTGGCTGCGGTTGGGGTCCACCACTACCGGTTCCTCCAGTGCCTGAGCCACTTGCGACGTTATTATTATTGGTCGCGTTGTGAGGGTGGCGCCTGATTTCATTCAAAATATTTTGGAACATTTCCCCTGCATTGGTCTGCATCTGGGTAATGGTGTCCCGTAAGGTGTTAATCTGGCCTTGTATGTCCTCGTGTCCTTGCGGGTTACTGCGAGTAGGTACCCTACGTGGAGGCATAATGCTGCACATATGTTACAGGTAAAATAAAGGAGTTAGAGTGAAATTCTCATCCTAAAGATCAGAAATTTGCTCTGATACCATAAAAATGTTACACCTTCGATGGCCTCATTAAGGGTGTTACAGGGTCCTCCCTCGGGATTGACTGTGTACATCTCTGATATGTTTTTGGTTCCTCTTGGGAATGACTACGTATGTATCTGATAAGATATGTTTTTGGTTCCTCTTAGGGTCCTCCCTTGGGAACACGTGCATTGATTTTCGCTTGGGGTCCTCCCTTGGGAATGACTGCGTACATCTCAGATAAGATATGTTTTTGGTTCCGCTTGGGGTCCTCCCTTGGGAACACATGCTCTAATTTTCGCTCGGGGTCCTCCCTTGGGAATGACTGCGTACATCTCTGATAAGATATGTATATATATGTTTTGTTCAGTTATGATAATTGTTATATGATGCCTTGTATACCTCTGATATGTGTGGTTCCGCTCGGGGTCCTCCCTTGGGAACATATGCGCTGAGTTCCGTTTGGGTCCTCCCTTGGGAATGACTGCGTACATCTTTGATATGATATGTTTTGTTCTGATGTGATTACTGTGATGATTTTCGTAAATGAGTTTATATGCATTTATTTCCGCTTAGGGTCCTCCCTTGGGATTGATTGTGTACACTTTTGTTATGATATTTGTTATGTGCGTTGAGTTCCGCTTGGGGTCCTCCCTTGGGAATGATTGCGTACATCTCTGATAAGATAAGTGTATATACTTTGTTCAGTTATGATATTTGCTTATATGATGCCTTGTATATTATGTATATGACATTCATGCAGGAAGTGGGCCTAGGGTATGCAGAGTTCTCTATAAACCTGGAGCTTACTGGAGATTTGTCTCTAACCTTGTTTGGGGGATATGATGTTAGGTATACCCTTAACTGGAGAGCCCTCACAGGGCAAGGACACGAATTGTGTCTGGAGGTGCAATAGTGGATATGTGTGTTTTGGATGATTCGTCATCACTGTATAGAGACATGGTCCGTGTGTAGCATTATGATGCTATTATTTTGGAGGACACGTGTTTATTGTTTAGTCATGTTCTACTCATTTTGGGATCATGATGTCTGATCCATTATATTGCATATGATATATATACTTTTAGTACATGTTTTCAGTTTTGATGCATGTACTTTCGTGTATTCAGACATGTTATATGATGCTGTAGTGTTCAGATATGTGCATGTGCTGAGATATGTATGCTGTTAGACATAGTGGCATGGAGCCAGTTATGCATGCGCCCATGGATGGATATTAGGTCCGTTTTTGGACCATATATGATTATATGATATATTTAAGATGATATTTTATCAGGTATGGATTATAAGAGTGGGATTTAATCTCCATTTGTTCGGTTTATAGTCGTTATGTTGTCCGATTTTAGAATCTGTTTGGATTGACACTTGTTGTCATATTTAGATGGTCAAGGGCCATTGCTAGGGATGTTAACGAGCCGAGCCGAGCCGAGCTTTGGTCTTAACGGGCCAAGCCTGTGTTCAAATGTTCAGACTGGCCTTAGCTTGTTACCTGTTACGAATATAATATCAGCCTGTGGCCTGGCTCATTTACAAAAAAGAAAAGCCTTGTTTAGCCTATTAGCCTGTTTAAAAAGAATAAGACAACAAAAATTTATCCAAACAAAATATACAATCAACAGCACTAGTAATTCCATAAATATTCATAAATTTAATATATATCTAAATAGCATAATATAAAACAAAATCATTTAAAAAGTCTGTTTAATTAATAAAATGGGAGGAAATGAATTGAGAAGAGAGAGAGGGCTATCACAAGTAGTATAAAAAATAAAAAATAAAATAAAATAATAATAAATTAGGCAAGCCTGAGAGGCTCTAAGGCCGAGCTTTTGAATTGGAGCCTGAGGCCTTTTTATTAAACGAGCTTTTATACAAGTCCAAGCCTGAGTCCAACAATCAATTTTAGACATGTAAGCTCAGGCCTTCACGAGCCGAGCCAAAGGCCCCTGGCTCGTTTAGCACCCCTAGCCATTGCATATGGTCATGGATATGAAAGTTTAGAAAAGAAATTGTGATTGATAAGAAAGATTGAACATAAGGCTATATATCATGTGAAACGAAATTTAGAAAAGGAAAAAGTTAGCTCGTATTTTCGTAAGCTAATGCAAGTAAGTTAAGTCTTCCGCTGACGCATGTTTTAGTATCATATGTATGTTAATTGAACCGGCTCGAGACGAGGATGTTACATCTGACACTGTCTACCTTTCCTAATTCTGGGTGTGATTTAGCATTCATAAAAATCCCATCTTTTGAGACAAAAAACTAGACACCTTAAACTTTAATTTGATACCTCACACACTTCATTTCATTAAGAAATGAGTGATATATGTCCTTTCCAATTTAGGCTCAAATGTAATTAGAACTCTTAACAGTCTACAGATCCTTTACTATTTTATTCACAAAAATCCCAATTCTAGTCATATTGCTCTGAATTTTTGATGTGTTAAATTAGACTTGTACACCTTTAATTTGATACAAACCACACTCAATTTGGAGTCCTTCAACGTCAATTATAAATTTCACAAATAGAGATAAGTTTTTCCTCCATTAGGGTTTGCCCACTTTCGAATTAATTCAATCTTGTTTCATTAACTTCTATCATTTTTTTATTTTAACCAATCATCATTATAACACTTAAAAACCCTAATCTCATTTTTGTATAGTTTAGGTTAACCAACCCTTTGTTTTAAGCCTAATCATGCATAGTTTAGCTTAAAATCAACAAACTACTACCAAAGAACATTAAACAATTTAAAATAACATCATAGGATCATGTTTACACATAACCCTAATAAGCCATAACCATCATTCGATATAAATTTTCAACCATCAAAATAAGGGTTTATTACCTTGTATAGGTTCTTTAGAAGCTAGGAAGTATTCTCTAACCATCTTGGATAGACTTGAAACTCTACACAAATAGGTGAATATCTCTCAAGGTAAAGCTCCTCTTAAAGAACTAAGAACTAAGTTTTACTCACAAGACCTCACTTTTGAAGTTTCATGAAGAAACCTAACCATAAAAGTGTTTAAACTAAAATCTCCAAGCTTTTCTTTCTCCTAAGCATGCTTATGGTTTTAACAAGAAGAAAAGGAGAAGAAAATAGTGTACAAGGCTTGGAAGTAATGAGCTAACCGACCTATATGTTAGACAATGACTAAGTAACTTATATATTTACTTAGTGTTTCAATTTTTCATCTCACCTTTCATTGGTCCACTTGTTTGTCCTTTAACTTAGTCATCTTTTTAATAAAATCTTCTAGAATTCTTTCATCTCTTACACACACTCAAAATGACGTGAAATGTGAGGCATATTAACTGACTTATAAGGCTTAATGTATACAAATTGAATGCATCTTTATGTAGTGTAAGAACCCGCACCGCTATATAATTAATTAAATAACATTATCGGTGCCGGAGTATGGATTTAATAAAGATTATGCATAGTTATGGTAAGAAAATTATTGAGAAAGTCTAATAATGCTTAAGTTGCTTTTCTGATGAAAAGTGCAAATACCGATTTTGTTTCGTAGTATAAATGTGTACCCGTGAAATATTTTGAAAAATTAATATAAAAATATAATAACTCCTAGAAAAATGTCTAGGTTAAGAATATAAAGTTTGGAAGAAAAATAATTAGTAGAGCTATTAGACTTAATACCCATGGATTAAGTGAGTGCACCTATAAAAAGAAAATGCATATAAACCTAGGTCATTTCTACACAGCTTCTACGTGACTCTCATGCTGCTATGTTACTCTCTGCCTTGACACTATACTCTATTCCTCAAGAAACCACCCAAGACACCACTTTTCCTCTTTATTCTTCCTCTATAACCTTGTAAATACTTGAGAGCAAGCTTGGTGAGGGAGAAAAATCACTTCTTGAGAGGTTGAGGGTTCTATTTGTGAGTACTGTGGGGTTGACTTCTTGGTTTGGGTGTGTTGGAGTCTTCTACATCACCATTGGAGCTCCAAGGAGTGAGCTTTGTGAAGAAAAAAACCAAGTTTTGGAAACCATTTTCGTGCTCCTTGTTGGTCAAAGGTGGAGAGTGGGCTAGGAACCTCCAATATCACTTCTTTTCTCTGTTTTGAAAGCTTGGGTATATGCTTCAACCTTTCCTCTTGAGTTTCTATGTAAAAGATTGAGTCTTGGACATGTTAAATGAGAAAAATAAGTAACCAAGATGATCACTAGCTTAAATATGCTTCAAAATGGTAGCTTAAACCTTTGTAAATATTAAAAATCAAAGCTTGGATGGATATCTTCGCGAAAATACAAACTGCATGCTGTCGCGAAATATCCCGATATGATATCCAGATAAGGGCTAAAGGATATCCGAATATGTGCCCAGGGATATCGGGATATTGATATATGGATATGTCCTCGAGGAATATCCAGATATCTGGAAAGTTGGTGTTTTGTGCTATTTTGTCAAATAGAAGCGTGGGTTAAGTTTCTGGACCTTTAATTGGTTAGTGTGAACCTCTGTAATAATTTAACTAAGTCAGAACCCATGATATTGAATGCTTATGGCTTTGAGAGAAGCTTACAGTCATTAAACAAAAAAGGAAACGTTGTACGAATGCAATGAAATTCTAGACTATGAATATTGATGATGTGGTGTATATAAAATAAATTGCAACTGCCAGATTGTGTGACAGTTGGTGTGTCTGATTATACCGAGCCTTTGGAAAAGAATTTTGGCACTACAAGTAAGCTTTCATGTCCACATTTTTACCCATTGATAGTTCCATCTTACCTCATGGAGGGATGATTTATATGCATGATGTGTTTTTTGAAAATATATGAAGAATATTTGACATGTTGTTGAGCTGTTTTATAAGTGCAAATGCCATATATTATGTATGTGGGGTGTTCCACCCTAGACAGTAATTCCTGAGTATGTGAGCCAC